AAAAAGAAAGATCGTTTTGTATGAGCCACTCGATGGATGGCAGTCACTAATGACGACAAGCTCAGCTTACTGCTATTAGTCGGCAGAGAAGAGTTACAGAAGCTGCTCCAAACACTGCATCAAGTGCGGAAATGAGGTACATGTCAACAAGAATTCATGCCCAGCTAGAGGTAGGAGATAACTTAAGTGTGGACGTCTGAATTACTTCAACCGAGTGAGCAACAGTGCTGCTAACGACGTGAAAAGCAAGTGAACCAACGCAGTGGAGCTTGAGCAGGAGCCAAGCACACACCGTGTGTCTTAAGAAGAGGAATGGTTAGAAGATGTGTGTCTGTACCAGTTGAAGAAAGGACAATCACAGAATCCAACAGTTGCTGTTCACATCAATGGCATTCCCATCAGCCCAAACCTGGACACGCAGGCTGACGTCATGGTGGTTATCCAAAAGCACTATGGGAAGCTTCAAGCAAGCTTTTTCCTGCAGCGCACTGGCGTCACAATTAGAAACTCCGGAGAAGAGAAGGGGTGGTCGCTATGCCTGCTTAAGGAACATTTACAGCAACACTCACTCGAGGAGAGGGAGAGATGGCAGAACCTGTGTATGGAGTTAAAGGTCAAGGTGACACTGGGTTTCGTAGAGTACTACCTGGACTTGACCTCGAGCAACCCACTGTCAGTCATGGGGGAAAGTCGGCAAGCGAAAGTTGACCTAGTTGAAGAGTATAAGGATGCAACTACACATGAATCCAGACAAAAAGGGCAGTGTGCAGGAACAGAAGAATATCTCTACAGCTAAAAGACAAATTTGATGAGATTCTCGACAAATGAGAGGAAATGAATATCATTGAAGATGAAGGGAATGAACTAACGGAGAAGTACAGCAACGTTGTCCTCACCCCAAACAAAGACGGAGAAAAGGTCAGGGCGAGCCTGAACATGACAGATGCCAACAGGTTCATAAAGAGAACCAGACACGGAGATCTTTAACGAGGAGGTTTGTAAGGTCGTAGCGCAAGAGCCAAATGTCGTCAGCGTTTACGATGATATCCTAGTTTTCGGCGCTAAGCCCGAGGAACATGATGAAGCACTCAAACATGTATTACAGCTATGACACAAGCAAGGACTCACGCGTAGCTTGAGGAAGAGCAGGCTTAACCTCCGAGCTTTGAAGTTCTTTCAAAAAGTGTTTTAAAGCGAAGGCATATCGGCAGACCCAGAAAAGGTGATAGCCATAAAGGCAGCAGGACCCACTCAGTCAGCGGCGAAAGTAAGCCCCTTCCTATTTATGGCTGGAGCAAACACCGACTTCATAGAGCTGCTCAAGGATAATATCAAGTTCCAGTGGACATCAGAGCGTCAAAGGCAATTTGAACGGGTCTAGAAAATGCTAGTGTGTGACGCGGTGATGGCAAAGAAAAAGAAAAGGACAAAGCTGAAGACCGATACTGGTAGAATGGTGCAGGTACAGGTACCGCTACCGGTAATGGTACAGGTAGAATGGCAGCCACCATAAAGCCATACGATCTGGAGACCAAGCAATGGTGACCAGTCACTCATCGCTCACAAGCATTTAGAGACACTGAAAGCAGATACTCACAGCTAGAGAAAGAGGCCAAGACCGTGGAGTGGGGTATCTTTACCACTCTCACGTACCTTTCTTGCATTGCCGACGCCTTCGAGGTTGACATGACCACAAACTGGTGGCACCGCTGCTCTCATGTTACAGAAAAACTGCACCACTCCCTATAGAGAGCATGTGGGTCCACCTTAACTATGTACCTGGAGAGAAGAAGGGATTGGAGAACAATAAAGCAGATTACTACTCACGTCACCCAGAGCCACTGGCTGCACAAGAGAGCCAGGCCAGCAAGAACCAAGCAAAACTTGAGCTTAGGGAGACCGTGGAAGAGTTTCAGAAGGATATCATGGCTATTGTGAAGTCATCAGTACCTCAAGTAGTCACCTGGCAGGAGCTGCTAGAGGAAACACACCCAGACACACCTTTTGGACATAAAGGAAGCCCTAGCTAGAGGATACTTTACAAAACTGATCAGTACGAATAAATATCAACATACGATAGCGTTCAGTTTTCATCGTTGTCCTTTGTAGCGCTCAACATGGCAAATCCTGCAAATGTCCAGCTTACCTTCTACAAAGCTTACGACAATGTCACGTGACTTGTAGCAGTCGTGCCTAGTCCATCCCAAACGCTCGAAGCACGAAATACCAAGTAGTGACTGGGTCACAGGAGCGAGAGCCGTTGCGCATTACATCCATGCTCAGTGAGCCCTGGAAAGATATTGCTGTGGACTTCTGGAGCCTCAGTCATACTGGAGAGTATCTGCTGGTTAAAGTGTGTAAGCAGTCTAGATGAGCAGAAGTAGAGTTTGTCAAATCTACGGGTGCCAGGGCAGTGGTTGCAAAGATGGATTAAACCTTTGCCTCGCTGGGCATACCAGTCTCGGTGAGCAGCAACAGATAGACCCCTTCAATGGCAAGGACTTCGGCGACTTAAGCGAGTATCTGGGTTTTCGCCATGAGAGGAAGATGACGCTGAAACCGCAAACTAATGCAGAGGCCAAGCAGTTCATAAGAATACTGAAGAAACTCTACAAAGAAAGCAAGTTGACGGTGTCGAATTTTAAGCAGGAAGTATACAGATTTCTTCGTGCCTACAGAGGTACTCCACATTGCACCACCAAGGTTGCTTCGGTAGATCTGATGTACCCCAGTCACAAGTTTCCCACTGGAGTAACCCCTTGTGGACATGACTTTGAAGAACTGTACCAGATTTTGAGAAGAATATGTTAATGAAGGGCTCTAGAAGACAACAAGAAGTATATCAAAACTTCTGACATACAGGTAGGAGACTCTGTGCTAGTCTAAAGAGAGGCAATCAGCAAGGCCACACCGTATGAGGCAGAACTATTAAGGGTGCAGTACAGGAAGGGCACCAGGATGGTAGCCAAAAGACTCAATGGCAGCTCCCTCGTGAGGACCATGGCTCGCTTTAAGAAAGTCCAATTCAAATCAGTGGAAGATGCACAAAAGTGGCTCAGCCTCAGAATGGCCAATGGAGCCTGCCAGTGAAGCACTACAAAGCACCAGAGAAGACAGGTCATCTGGTTCAGAACAGACTGACGGAACTACAGCAGAGATGGCAGCCAGTGAGTCCATCCCCGCAGATGCTGTATCGCCGGCAGGTTGCAAGAAGGTGAAAACTAAGAAAGAGCGAGACACCAAAGACACAGAGGCATATTTAAAGGAAAAGTACTCGTACTTTCAGCTTTAGTGCTGAAGTTAGCTATCAGTTGCCAAGCTAGGAAGGACTCTGGACATTGCATGCTTTTGCGTTGTGTTGTTGTATCTGTATGCCTCCCCATAGGACTAGCTGTAAGCAGGGGGGAATGTAGCATTGTACCGTTAGGACTGGGCTTTGGGCTCACTGCATGCTGGGGCCATGCAGGCCCAGTTTCCATGGTTGTTTAAGTTGTCAGCCAGCATGGCAGCCATAATCTATTAAAGTAAGGTTAACTATGAAAAAACATGAGGTAAGGTTTGCTTACTAGGCAACTGGCCAGGCGCATACCTCACCTCTCCACAGTTCAGGATACAAATTATTCTTCCCACTAATTGTAACGTAGAGCTGTCGAAACATTTTTTTGTTCTGATTTTTTTTCCTCCTGTCAGAATTTAGGCTAATTAATTCTTACACACCTTCCATCTCTTCCAGTTTTTCTTTGATGCTGTCTTCATCTCTCTTCCATTCCTTCAGCAGCTTTCTGTAGTGCTCTTCAGTGTCACGATCCATGCACTCATTCTTGAGCTTATTGATAGCGGCTCCATAACTCGCTCCTCCCAGTGCCATAAGTGTGTTACTGATATCCAGCCACTTACTGTTGAATGTTGCATCGTCTACAGAAGCTTGGCTAGCATGGCCGTACACAGTATTTCGGTAGTACTTCACCCTGGCTATGTTGGCTTCAGTACTGGTGTCTGCGGCAGAGGGAAGATTGTCCCAGCCAGTGACGGGCGGAGTCAGATGACAGATATTCCTCAGCAGCACCATTAATAACGTGATATCAAACCTTGCTGATGCAACAGATGAAGGGATAGTAGGGTACAACTCTCCCCATTGAGTAGCATTGAGGATTCGTTTCTTTCTAAGCGACTGTAGCGTGCCATGTTCTGGGGTACCGGGTGCCAATACAAGATGCAGTCCAGCCGGAGGATGAATTCTATCAAATGTGTCCCTCAAGGCCTGGGATCCAACATCCACCAGAAGACGACACAACCGAGCATAGTTGGTCGTCTTCTTAGTGGATGCAACTGACGGTGCCGGAGCAGAAGCCATTGACTGGCGAACAGATAAACCTACGAGAAAAGTTTATTTATGTTATTGCATGGGTTGTATAGATTAGTTGCTGCTGGTTTCTTTTAACTTAATAATGTCGTAACTAGTTTTGACGAAATTGTCTTTGCCTGTCATTGGTGTTGTGGTTTATATCACCGAGCTGATCTCATCTTGGGGTGAACAAAAGGAGCTATAGGCTTATCAAAAAAAGAACAAAACTATGGGAAATTACTGACTGTAAGTTACTGATTTTATTTATGTAACAAGAGAATGATGCCTACCTTAATTCAAGAAGATTTCTCAGTTCTTGATATCCAGGATATCTAATTGCTCGCTGGCAATCTGTATCATGAACACTGCAGATGGGAAGCATTACATCATGAAATTAGTAACATGCAGTTTCAATCCAGCTGAAAGAGAAGAAACAAAATTGATGCACATTGATACTACAACAGACTGAAAATGATCGTTTCAAATGCTGAAAAAGTCTAATTATTCTATAATTAAAAATAACTTGAATTTAGAATTTTCCTTTATAAGGAAGTTTGTCAGAAACTCTTCAACACTCGCGGACATTTTCAGAGACTAAAGAAAGAGAACCTTTCAAGTGCATGTCTTATTACAGTGGAACCTCCATATAACGAAGGGCCAGGGAGGCAGGGACTGGCAAAAAATGTTCGCTATAACGAGGTTTCATTGTATCGAGGTTCTTTTGTACATACTCCGCACTACTTTAAAGAATTGCAAGTAATGAAGTGTAACCAGTTCTGTTTGTGTAGACTACGGCATTCAGTTGTGAATTATTGTAAATTTAGTCTTTTAGAGCGTGGAAAACAATTATTTCATGTGTATGCAATAATTCATGATGGTCGACACGTCAGTTTTGTAGTAGTATGGTCTACTATATGGGTGAAAAGTAAAATCAAACGCTGAATTGTGCGTAATTCGTTTAAAGTCTGTTTTGATTCCCGTGAACCGTGAATTTTATATTTGAATTCCCGTGAACCGTGCGCGATACCCCCCCCCCCTTTCTGACCCTCTTTATTATGAAGATGGGTTTAAGACAAACCCAAAGATTCAACAGTTGTTTTGCATGAATACCGACTGCTTAAGCCTGATCATTACTGATACATGGCCTGTAAATATCTAAAAAAAAAAGCTCGCTAATTGTCTTCTCCGTCCTGATACAATTTCGTTGTGTAATGAAGTCTGTGGAAATTGGTTACAAACTCTTTCTCTCGCATTTTGCAAGTTACTCTTTCAAATGCGCGTGAAAACTGCTTGTCTTTTTATATAGTCAACATTGAAGCTTTCCGCGCTAGTGAAGCTATTGTTTTTGCATAGTCTTGTATGGCTCACTGAAACAGCTTTAGAACTCTTTTGAACATAAAGAAAGTCACAGAGTATAGAATAAAAAGCAAGGATGATTTATTGACCAGTTAACAATCATACACTGCAGTAAATGAAGTATTCAACAAATTGAGTAAAGCAAGGAAGCAAGCAAGTTTTAGACCCCGGTCATACATATGCAGACAAACACTGCTAAATATAACCTTTAAATTACACAGACTAGAATGCACATATCAGAGTTTTTTCAAAATTTTCTTACCTTGAGGTTCTATGGTTGTGCAGTTGTTTTTTGAAAATGAGCCAGTGAAAGTCAGTCACTAAGGAGTTTACTCAACTGTAGAAACAAACAGAATGGATCGACGTAACATTTACTGGTTACATTTGCTTTTAGTCTAAATTGAAAATATTGCACGTATAAGTTAACCCATAAGAAAGATTTGCTTTTTCGCGCTGAGTTTAGTGTAGTTGCGTCAAGATAAAACTTTATAACCTCAGCCAGGCAAAAAGACAGCAATAATGATTACTACCAAGACAAATAATGCTTAACTTACTGCTCGCTAATAAATACTGATTAGTGATTAATTGTAAATACTCCCCGGTTTAAAGAAGTTGTACCATAAACTACGACCGATAAAGAACCCGATTATAAATCACAACAGCCGATCATATATACGTCTCAATCTGTAATTAATCTAGGAACGGAGTATCTGCAAGTTTATGTGGCCCTCATCTTTTGTTGTAACCTTTTGCGTTTTTTGATTTGATTTCGCTAAAGTTCGCTGGTAATTAAACTACTGGTTCTACCCCTAGCGATGAAATTGTTCCCTGACAAATGTTGATGAGTTTGTTTAGGACAACTGAGTCATTCATGATCAATGTTTGCGAAACTTAGAAACAGGCTAGATTACGCAGTCCACGACTTCCGCTTTCAGTTCTTCGAATGCGTACGTGTTTCATTGGGTATAATCTTGGGACTACACTGCTCGTTATGAATAATAGTTAGCTCACAAATTATTGGATGTTGAATGAAAATCTTCTCAACAATTAAACAACTGTGGTAATGAGTAAGGTTTTTCCCGTATCTGTTGCTTGTTAGCGCTACCGAATTTTGCTCGTCCCTCAAATGCGCTTATGTTTCATAATTTTATTTCACTCATCCTGCTTACCTGAAACGTTAAAGCTACTCTTGCCGCCAGAATCAGTCACTTCGACGTATAACTGTGCCCATGAACAGGAGATTCCTACATAGCTATATAGAACGAACATTTACTTAGTAACTTATATTAGAATCCCACTGTCGTTGTGTCTGGCCTAACGGTGAATATGTCTAGTCACGCAAACTGAATTATTCTCAGTAGCAAATGTTCTTTTCCTAGCCTGAGGTCCCTTCTAGAATCAGTTTATGTCCATTTTATCCACCGATAAAATAGAAAACCGCTCCTTCAGCAGATAGAGTGTTGTCCGAACGGAAGCGCTCAAGTGGAATGGAAGGTTTCATTTTACAAAATGTCACGCCACTCCAAACTACCAAACATGATTGGCCAACCCTCAAAAATTTGGAAATCCATGCGGCGGGTTAGGAATTGGATCAATTTGCTGACACCTTCCTAGATAAATCAAATTTTAGAAGTTAGAAATCTTCATAGAATGGTTACGTGGAAACACGAGGAAGGACAAAAAATATGTCCTTGGCAACAAAGCATCGCTCGTGCCTCTCCAACACATGTTCACGTAATGCCCCTACTACCTTTAGTCCACACTAGCAACAGTTTGTGTTAGTTGACATCTTTTAAAATCAAATTTTAAAACTTAGAAATCTTCATAGAATGAGTGGTTATGTGGAAACACGAGGAAAAAGAAAAAATATGTCTTCGGCAACAAAGCATCGCACGTGCCTCTCCAACACATTTGTACGTAATGCCTACTACCTTTAGTCCACACTAGCAACAGATTGAAAACTTCCCTTGAATTATTTTTAGTTGTAGAAATTTTGGCAGAGTTCTAATCTTACCTTGCAGAGAAGTTCTGTAGTCGTGCAGCTGTTTTTATTCTGTTGAAAATGACACAGTGTCAGTCAGTCAGTCATCAAGGAGTTTACAATTGTAGAAATAAACAAGTTGGCTCTAAACTGAAGTAACATATAAAACATTTGCTCTTGGTCAAAATTGAAAATGAAAAAGCAAGCAAGCAAAAGCTTTCCACCTTTGTATTTTTATTGATCCATGCATATACAGACAAACACAGCTAAAAACACAGACCGGAATGCACATATCAGATTTTTTTCATAATTTTCTTACCTTGCAGAGAAGTTCTATGGTTCTGCACTTGAAAACGAGCCAGGGTCAGTCAGTCACCAAGGAGTTGATACAACTGTAGAAAAAAACAGGTTGGCTCGAATCTCACGTAACATTTACTGGTTACATTAACTCTTGCTCAAAATTGAAAGTATTGATGCTGACAAAGCAGCAACGAGATCGAAAATTTAAGCGTATAAGTTAATCCATAAGAGAGATTTGCTTTTTCGCACTGGGTTTATCGCAGTTGCGTCAAGAGAAACCCTTACACCTTGAGCCAGGCAAAAAGACAGCCATAATGATTACTATCAAGTAACATGCTTAACTTACTGCTTGGTAGTAAATACTAATTACTGATTAATTGTAAATATTCCCCGGTTTAAAGAAGTAATGTACCATATAACTAAGATAAAGAACCCGATTATAAATCACAACAGCAGATCATATATATATGTTTTCAATCTGTAATTAATCTAAGAATCAAGTATCTGGGAGTTTATGTGGCCCTCAGCTTTTGTTGTAAAGTAAACTTGTGCGTTCACCGGTAAAAATGCAAATAAAATC